AAACTCTGTTAGAACATGAAATTTGATAATAGGACCCAGGAATCTTCCCTCTCTAATACTCTGCTAACGTATGTCCTGACACGGAAGAGTACCAATGCCCTCTCTCATGACTCTGGGTTAGGAAAGAATTGCCAAGCGGGGTCGGAAACTCGTGGACTATGATAGTGCCCGACACCACCTGGAGGCGGTGCAGAATGCCAAGAAGAAAGATGAGGCCAAGACTGCCAAGGTAAAAAAAAAAAAAAGAAAAGTAAGGAAAGCCTAATAAAACCTTCCTGCCCTTTCTCTCCCCATAATGGTGGCAGGTGGCTGGGCCACACTGGGTTTAGGAAATGATAAATTCAACATCCAGTGTCCTGAAGGAAATTCTGTTTCCTTTGACACCCATGCTGTAAGGAGAGCCAGAGACTCGAGGCTGGGAAGGGCATGGGTCTGGGGAAGAAGAGGCATGGTCCAAGTAAGCCTATTCTCTGAAAAAAATACAGAGGATAAAAGAAGCAGCTTCTAGCCTGGAGTTCATGGTTGAGGGAAATTGTCCTGTCTCTTTTACCACCTAGGCAGAGGAAGAGTTCAACAAAGCCCAGGCTGTGTTTGAAGATCTAAACCAGGAACTACTAGAGGAGCTGCCTGTTCTTTATAATAGGTAATGATTGAGATTCAGGAAAGTGCTGGACTTCTGGGCCAGTGGAGGCCCAAGCAACTTGGCTACCCAAACATGTCACCTCATAAAAGAAGGAGCCCTGGCCCAAGAGTGGGATGTAGCCTCAGCCCTGCTACTAACGCTGTGTGATATTAGGCAAGCTGCCTTATCGCTCTAGGCTCTGATTTCTTCATCTGCAATACAGAGATAACTATCCTTACCCTGCCAGCTTTTCTGGGTTTAAAAGTAAGGTGCTTCTTGGATAGGAGAGATCTTGGCAAGTAAAGTGCTGTCATCATGCATACTAAGAGAATCTGGTTTCATGCACAAGGGTGTATTGTTTTAAGGGCGTATTGGTTTGTGGTCATCCAGATTTACATAGATTTACATAGATAAACTCGTGGGATAATTATTTCCATTAATGAAGATGTCTTTGCTTCACAGTAGGTAAAATTGTTTTGGATATAAATTTTCTGTATTAGGAGAGGAACCTGAGCAGAAATTCTATTTGTATCCTTTTTTCTTTTCACTGTACAAGATATGCTTTAACGCTATTGTGGTAAGAGTATTTCATATTGTCACTTATTATTAGTCTACATATAATGGAGCCTTTTTCATGATTACATGTGTTCTAAACATTAATTATGTAACTCTTAATTTAAAAAGAATTGAAATTTAATAATTTTTTAAAATGTAAACTTCCCCAATTCATTTCCAGTAGAATTCCATTAATGTGCATATAGCTTCATAGAAGTCCAATATTGCATAATGAGAAACAATAATTACTTATAATAATTATAATTATGTGGCCTTTTATTTGCGTAGTACTTTAAAAGTTCTTCAGAACACTTTCATGTCTTCTTTAATACCTAAAGAGCCTGAATCAGATAACTTCATGGAACTAGAGATCTGTTATACTTTGGTGTCAGCCCTGGCAATAGTATAGTGTTTCTTTTGGCCTTCTCACTCCTTAGAGTCAAGTGTGCTCTTGGCCTGGCTCTGAGCAATCCAGATCCCAGAACATACTGAGTCTTGGGATGTGAGGTGCTTTTCTCTGAGGAGCATCGATGGTGACTGGTTTTGGCTTAAGCTCCTATCTCGTACTTCAAACAAAGACTTTACCAACCCTTACCTGTATGTGTTTGTTGTTTTGCCTCCTGATAGTCGTATTGGCTGTTACGTGACCATCTTCCAAAACATTTCCAACTTGAAGGACGTCTTCTACAGGGAGATGAGCAAGGTGAGAAACAGTTGGACAATTTAGACACCTCAGTGGGTTTTTCTAGTAAATATGAAGGTAGTCCTAATTTACATAATCTCACCAAATATCCATAAAGGCACCACAAATTTTAACCTTTTTCCCATGGTGAAATAATAGCACTTGATCGACTGTGTTGACTGTATTAAAGGACATATATACATATCAGAAGACCTCTTCCATCTCCATTAACTGAAAAATAACATCTAAACTTGAGCTTCAGATCAATAAGGGAGGTTAGGCCTAAGCTGAAATGGGAAACCAAGTTGTAACATATCTATCTTTTGTTGCTAGGGAGCAGAGAGGGCAGTGTTTAAGCACAAGTCAGTTTCTTAGGTAGTCTGTCTTCTTCAGTAGGGCCAACCCTATTCTGTGACAGGCAGCCAAAGAACCTGACCTCATGGGGTCTTTTCTAGTCCTGGGATTCTAAGACTTTGCTATTACAGTATTGATTATATTCACATCCACATCCACACATGTTCCTCTCCACAGGTACTTTGGCTAAATTATGGTTCGCCTAGTTAATATTACAATGAGTTGTTATTTCCTGGATCACCTGCAAGAAGCTAAAACCTCAAATCAAACATTAAACATCAAGGACCCAGCCTTAAGAAAGCTGCCAGTCTGATGGAAGAGGCAGAACTTAAGAAGGAAGTTAAGGAAAAAGGGGTGGCAAGACAGGACCCTAAACACTAGTGCAAAAGAAATGAGGAAGAATTTTATAGTTAAGTGTTTTATTTAAAGGAAGCTTTTATTTGGGGAGCTGTCTGAAAGTGAGGAGAGAAGGGATATACCAGTCTCACATTCTATGTAGCTAGTACCCTCTTCTCTCTTGCTGGCTCTAGCTGAACCACAATCTCTACGAGGTGATGAGCAAACTGGAGAAGCAACATTCCAATAAAGTCTTTGTGGTGAAGGGACTATCAAGGTGAGCAACTTGAGACTTCTCTGCTTCACTTGTTCTTTGCGTGAACATATTTGACACCCTTTCACCAGTTCCAAATCCTGGCCTTTCCTCTGTGTTCATATGCATGATATTATTTGTTGTTTATACTACACCCCTATATAAATTCTTTTTCTTTTCATGAAATATTTCAGCTTTAACTAAAGGCATAAAGAATAATATAACAAATACGTATCACCGAATTTAAGAAATCAGCTATTATATATAAATGAAGCTCCCAATGTCCCTTCCTCACTCACTTTCTTTTCCTGCCCCCACCAAAGGTAATCACTATCTTAAATTTAGTATTTACCATCCCCATGCATGTCTTTTCACTTTTATTATACACATATATGCACACAGAGAAAGTATTGTTTTACGTTTTTAAACTTTATATAAATAGAATTATACTGTATGTATTCTTTTGCAACTTCTTTTATTCTCTTAGAACTGTTTGTGAGATTTATTTATCGTTGTTGCTCCATGTTGCTAGCTCTGATCTGTCCTTTGCATACTTTTATGGATGCTGTTGTATGGCTAGTTGACAGTTTATTTATCTGTCCTCGTGCTGATGGACATTTGGACTGTTTTCCAGCTTTTGCTATTGCAAATAATGTTGCAGTGAACCTGTTTTACGTTTCTCATTGTGAAAGCTATCAAGAGGTTCTTTAGGGTGTGTACTGGGAGTGGCATTGCTGAGTCAGAGTCTTTGCATTTGGGCTTCTTCAGCCTTACTAGATATTGCCATGGCCAAATTGCTCTTCAAAGTGATTGTTCCAATTTACGATCTGCCATCAGTGAATAAAAGCCTCCATTGCTACATGTGACAATGTCAGACTTCCTAATTTTTCCAAGCTAATGGGCATGAAATAAAATTTCTCGCAGTTTTCATTCATATCTCCACAAATGCCAGTGAGTTTGAACATCTTTTCTTATTAGCCATTTAAGATTCCTGTTCTATAACTCTCTTGTTTATCCTTTTTTCACATTTTTTATTTGGATTGTTTACTCTTTTTTTAAAAAATGTATTTAAATGTATTATCGTTTGGGGTTTTTTTGTATATTCTGGATATTAATCCTTTAATGATATGCATTACAAATATCCTTCCTCTATCTTTTATGGTTTGATTTTCCTTTCTGTTTATGTGTGGTGTCTATTGCCTTTATATATTCTTTATGATGGTGAGTGTAAGCAATTCACTGGTCCCTCAGAATGTGATCACTTTCTTATGCTGAAGCCTTTGTTTAGGAAGTTTTATTGAGTTCCTCCAATGCATAAGGTTTTGAGCCGAGAGTTAGGTATCTATCCAAAGTCATAGGGAGATTTAGTCTTTCCCTGATTTATGAAAAGTTTGAAGGACAGAAAATGTGCCTAAGGAGTCAAGGAACGATATAAACTTGCATATACAAAGTACCTAATGAGACCAAAGAACCTAATGAGACCAGTAAGAATTCCAGAAAGGTAAGTAACCGTCAATGTGTAGATCTAGATCAAGGAAGGCTTTTAAGGAGGTGGTGAAACTGAGCTTAGGACTTGAAGGGAGACGAGGGCTAACATCTGCTGCTTGTACTACTCATTTAGCAATTACAGACTATTAAAAGGAATCACTAAAGGGCTAGTGTAGAGTTCCTATATGAATTCCCTCCAGAAACTCTTTTCCTCTTCTCAGTATTGAAAGCCAGAATTCTCTCTAATTTTCCATTCATCTGAAACTTACCATTACTTACACCAATATG